GCTAAGAAATGTCCTGAGAATCAAGCAAGCCAAGGTGACCATAAAATCCCAGAAACATTTTGCACAGGGATGCTCAGACTGCCCATGGTGGGATGCTGTCACGCCCTGCCCTGCCAGCCTCACCTGACCTGCACCAGCACTAATGCTGGCAAGTGGCAAATCACCCAAGGGCTGCATTGTGAGAAATGTTATTTATAATCCGTGGAGACACCATCCTCATACACAGCAGCTAGCATGCAGCACCACAATAAAGCCTGTTCCTTTAGCAGATTAAGCCCTCAAAAAATTACCAGCCCCAGAAACACGGAAGAGCACAAAGTCCCCCTCGGCTGGCCTGAGGACATCACATGTCTGCCAGAGGAGATGGGCTGCTGCAGTATGGCATCACAAAAGGGTGCTGAAGGAACACAAACTGTTTGAGGCTTGTATTCTCTTTTCTGCTTGAATTTATGTAAAATCTCTAATGAATAGAAGCTAATTAGCTACACTTAAGACTGATACACAACTACAGCCATAGGGAATAAACAGGTTCACCAGCTGCTGTATTACTTTAACTACACTGTAAATTGCTGCATGCTATTAACATGCTCTCCTGGCTTCAATAAAGAAAATCTTATTGAAATCAGTAGCACACATTTCCTATTTCAGTGAGACATTGCAAAATTAAAATGATATGTAGTAAAAACAATATGTGTGAGCCACCTGCTTACTGTATGATAGAATAGATTGGCATAGAATGACAGCTGCTGCACAGCCAACATTTCAGATACTGTACTACCTTGCCAACTGGACTTAAATTCACACACGATTTCCTTGACTAGCACTGAATGAATTTTTGCTGCTATAAATATGCATTGGCAATTGTGATGAATCATCCTGGGTACTAAGGGTCATTGTTAATTCAAATACATCAAGAGCCGTATCCAGTGCAAAAAGCCTCCAGAACAAATATTGATGAGTCCGGACTGTTTTGGTGACCTACACGCAAAGAACATGTCTTGACCCACAACAAAGGGTAGTGAAGCCTGCAGGGCTTGCTGGATGTTCATAGCACAAAATGCTCAGTATTAAAACCAAAATTCTAATCAATCATCACATGGCTCCTCACACAAGCTTGGAGTCCATGAGAATTATCATAATCAAGACCTTACAGCCTTATTTAGGTGCCTAGAGCCACATTCAGAGAACCTAAACTCCCTAATTTCTTACAATTATCCTAGCCTATGCTACATCTGCATTTTTTTTTCTAGCAGACTCAAGGCAGGTCTCAGCTCTGCCCCTGAGCTGGGCTGTCTGAATCCCTTTTCAGACTGATGTGGTTCTCAGCTCTGCTCAGTCACAGAAGCTTACTGAAAGGCAGGCTCCTTGATGTTGCTTCTAATTCCCATTTATTTCAATCAGAGCCATGTGTCTAATTATGTTTGCAGATCCGTTTTTGCTGGTTTTATATTAAGGGAATGCCTAGAAACAATAAACGTTTCTTTTAATCTAACTTTCTCTGCTGGCAGCTGATATCTCAAGTCAGTGCTGACAGGAGCTCTAACAAGGAACCTTGCATTAGATTCCCCTGATAATAAAATCTTGTTTGCATTTATAATAATAAATACTCTCGGTTGGAATAGGAAATAATTTTATCAGGATGAATATGATTTACAGTTCTACAACAAGCGATGATACAGTAGTGCTCATAAAAGGGCAGGTTTGGGGTAAAATCAGTAATCTATTTCAACCAATTCAAATGCCAATATCCCATCTGCTAAGTCTCTTTATTTTATATCAGTCTGCCATTTTCTCTTAGTGGTAGCATCAATAAACATTGTTGGTAATCATCTGCTTGTGCTCTAATGTGGCATATTCAGTTTCATTGAACAAAGCCAGGCTGAAGATCCCCGAAGGAAAACAAAAGTGAGTTGTTTAGTTATGATTCAGACCCATGTCTCTGATTTAAGAATGACTCAAGTTGCATAATCACCAAACCTGAACATAAATATGCTTTATGATATACAAAGCTAAATGCTAATAACAGCTGCTTTATTTATTCCAAAGAATTTTTTAATTACATGGGATTCTTTTCTTCATTTTGCCAAATGCAGTGGAACATTTAAAAAAAAACACTAATTTGAGGAGTTCACTAAAAATAGTATTTTTAGTGTCTGATGATGTATAACAGGATTCCAGCTGTAGAATACCACTTTTGATTTACAAAAGCATTTCTTTCTCTTTCCCTGCTTTCAGATAGATTTTTTATCCACAGAGACAAAATGCTGGATACCTAAGCCTAGATTCAGGTTCCTCTTAGGTGGCATTTGCCCTAATATTCCCAAATTCATCTAGCATACTCACAGTCTGCAGCCAGAGATAACCTAAAGCATGATTACAAAGGTGGGGTTTGTTTCTCTGGCACTGTAAAATTACAGTTTCAATACTGTAATTAATCATGGCCATTCATAGTTACAATAGGCCTGATAATCAGTGGTGAAGGGAATTATAATAGGCCACTTACTCTGAGAAACTTGGAGATAATAAGCCCTGGCTTGCACAGTAACTTCAAAGCCTCACAGGTTTTGAGTTTCCATCAGGATGTTTGGATTTCTAACAGGAACAATTCAACAACAAACTTGAGTCCTTTTGCCTTAAAAGGCCTATCAGTAAGACAGAGAGGATCTAAAACTGTCCAGCTATGAGAGCAACCTGATACACATGATAACATAAAGCTGGAATGCCAGCCTGGATAGCAACCTTCAAAAATCAGCTGCATTTCTTCACACTGCTTGCTTCTTCAATCAAACGTCCTCCATTTAAAAAGCCATTTCCAAAAAATCTGCATTCTCTGATATGAAAATATTCCCTTACAGATTATTGTCAGGACAATTGTCAGTTTTCCTCATGGCCCACCATGCTCCTGGAGGCCCACTGCAGAGGTGGGGACACAGAGCTCAGCCCAGCGAGGAGCGGGAGCTGCAGGGAGGCTGGAGCAGGCTGTAACCTGCCAGCTCTGCCATGAGGACAGACCCTGTAGGAGACTCTCATGCCTGTCAGCTAATACTGTGCCCTGCCCTGGCATTGTGATGGAAACGGCTGTGCTTTCTGAAGGCATCATCTCTGACATGAGACATGAAACCACACATGTTTGTCATTTCTATATTTAACATACCGATGTGGAGCTTGGGGAGGAAAGAATAGCTTCTGCTAGCATAGATCAGAAATGTCTTTTGAGAGGTGGCATGTAAAACCATATCCCCAGAAAAGATGTTTAGTTATTACTAAAAACTCTGATGCTAGCACTGCTCTCCCAAATTACTAGAAAACACTTTTCAAAGGAAAGACTGCAAAAGTACAAATATACTAAGTTTAGAAATTATTCTTGTATATTTGCACGGTCACTGATGACAAAAAATATCCATTACCTCAGCAAAGAACCGCTGTTAAGGTGTCAAAATCACCTAAATAATCTATTACATTTATTCTTCAAATACTATTATTTACTGTAGTATTTATAGTGTGAATAACACTCGCATGTTAAACAAGCATCTTGATGTCTAAGATGCTTAGACTTTTATACACACATAAAAATAAAAAAATACCAACCGTTGGAAAAAGGAAAATTTACTAGTAACATTGAAATATTATTCATACTATGTAATTAATTCTGTAGGTGTGGCTTGATCATCTAAAACATAATAGACTATTTGGAGCTCAGGCACTGGCAAGCCTGCTGCAGTCCCAGCTGGCCTGCTGCCTGGGCTATAAATTTTTCGTGCAAGAAGTAAATCTGCTTTAAAACATTACTTGGGCCTGAGATTTACTATTCAGCAATGTCGCCTACACCGATGTCCACCCACAATGGCACAGCTGCTGGAAACAGGGCAGCAGAGAGAGCCAGCTCTGGCAGCAATCCCTGCCCGAGGGACTGCTGCTGCCCAGGGACACTCCAGGAGCCACCAAAGGGAATGGCAGCTCATGCCAGAGAAACAGCAGCAGCACATTCCCCCCAGCCTCTCCCTGGTAAAATGAATAGACCATTAGAAGCCAAAAAAGAAATCTATGTTGAGGTACTGCTAATGTTCTAACAAAGTGACACAAACAAGTTACACCTCTAACAACTCACCTTCTTCCTACTCTAGGTATTTATAGCAATCTCTCGAATTTGACTGATATACCATAGTCTATTAATTGTGCTGATCCCCCCACCCCTCACCTCCCAAAAAAAAAGCAGGATAAACAAGGGGCAAAGTGAAAAATTTAAAATAGAATTTCCTCGCCTCAGTTTATTTAAGTTAGATATTTAGGACTGAGCTTATCAAGCCAACTGGTGGGCATCCTGCACATGGCATAGCACCTAGCACCAGCTTCCTGCGTGTGCTGAATCATGGCAACTGAATTTACAGGAGCTGGTGGTACATTCATATACCACAGAGCAGAAACAAGCTTTTTATTATGACAGTCTCTTAATTAGTAAGTTGTTAATAAACCAAGTTAAAAACAACAAAACAATTGACTGACTATTGCATGACCTTAGAATAAAATGTGCTGTTACTATACTTGAGCTACAGCAGCGCAAGTAAATATCTCCAAAAGAAAAAGCAAAGTCTTCTATAACAGAAACCAATTTGATATGGAAATGGGTCAACAGTTGCTTAAGATGTAGCACAGTTTTGATTTGATCTGCTATATTTGGACTCTGTAAGAGGCGCTTCCAGTAACATCGGTATTGCTTATACATGAGACTTTTGCATAATCACTGTGTGAAGCATTAGAATTCTTCAAACCCAGAATGATTTTCAAAACGATTATATATATCTATGTTAATAATGTGGATACAACAGTATTTGCTGAAGAAAAAGAACAACTGTTTTCTAAAACAATTAGGATTCATGATACATTGCTTGGCACACTATTGTTCAGAAGCCCACACAGTCCTTATCCAAAGGAAGCCCAGATGCAGCCATGGGCACCAAGTTATGCTTAGCATTTAGCTCAGAATACATGCTGGTCAAACAAGTAGAAATATATAAATAATTGGACATACATTTTTGTTACAAATTAAATCCTTTTTAATTTGGAGCAAGCTGTTTGGTATATTACTGCTTTTCAGACATGATCACAATTTGAGTTGTTCTTAAGGAAACAATCAGATTTCATTTAAGCATTTGAAGATTTTTTTACTTCCACTTATCTCAGCTGTTAGCTTTCTAGTCCACCTTGTTATTTCTATGGAGCCCCTGGTAAACTTTGTGTCACCAGAAGAACTAATCTGATTTCACTCCTGAAAACTATGAAAGATCATTTCACCATGCTTACCACCGTGTTAGGGAACCTACCCCAGCCAGCAGGGAATGTTCCTTCTTCTTTTCAAGGCTGGCCTCCACTCACACTTGCTACAGAAACAATTGTGCTGGCTCTTCTTTGCCCTCGCATTCTGACCTTGGGAAGAAGAACACACATATGTAATATCTTCCTTTAAGTGCACTTAAACAATGAATACAAGTATGCACTTTCTGAACATGAAGTGCAGGCATTAAATCAGCTATTGACTCCTGCAGAGTGATCAAAGGAATTTGACCTTGCCAGAGATGAGGTCCTAGCAGCCCTCACAGCACAGAGCCACGATCAGCTGCTGGGCATGGGCAACCTTAAAAACCAAGAATTACAGTGACCATTTTCAATTTATCTGTGTGTGCTGTTTGGCATTGAAAAAGGACACATTCAGAAAATAATATCGTATGTCACAACATAAGCATATTATCTCTGCAGAGACAAAAATGAGTTATTGTAGCCATAGTTTTGCTAAAATCAAAGGGAATTGGGAATGCTAGATCTTCACACAGACAACAAAATGAAACAAAAATGCATCAGGCTATTTGTGATTAATAATAGTGCCTCTAAAATCAACATGAATTATAATTACATGGGTTACTAACCTTTACAGAGTCCACATGAATATCCATTGGATTCCCCTGTCCATTCTGCACCCTATATGCCAATAAAGATGATATTCTGAGAACAAAAGTCTCTACAATACGTGTCTCCACCAGGGTACAGCCCACTCTGTTGAAGCATATTTTAACCTAATAATTCCTATAGCATATTGCAATTTTTAGACTAACTGCTATTAGTGAAAACCCAACTATTCAATCCTGTGTCTGGCTCTGTAACAGATGTCATACATATTGTTTAACAAGTAGTTCATGTCTCTTGACACCATTTTACCACTTGTAAAATAAGAATGCTATGAGATCATTGAATGGTAGACATTATAGAAGTAGAAAGCATTGACTATTATTTGTTGTTTTATTATTATTTAATGTAACATATGGATGAAAAATTCTGGCTTGTTTGACCAGGAAGACAGCCCTATATGTTTAAAATTAAATTAGCATAGAAAAAAATTAAGCAAACAGACTATCTCAAACAGGAAATGAAATAAACAGTATGGAGCTCTTTAAATACATAACAAGTAATCAGCAAAAGGGCTGTGAACGGAACCTGAGTGGGAAGCTTGTGACCAGTGAGGCTGATACTGCTGGAAGCCTGAATGAAAGTTAAAAGGCTCCATGACTAGGCCAGACTATACAGGCAATTAGAAGTGCTGAATGTTGCCAAGGCATCAGGCCAACAAGAATTACAACTCAACAAACTGAATGAAGGAGAGTGGGGGGAGGAAAAAAAAAGAAAAAGGGAAAAAAAAAAGAAAGGCTTTAATTAAATATTTGAGATCTCACAAGGGATGGGGAAAGTGCCAGGTAACTGGAAGATGGTTAACTAAACAGAGGGGGTCTGTTCACTCATTAATGCGTGGGGGAATTTACAAGTGTAACTTCTACTACCATTAATTGGAGCTACAGTAAATGAGTGATGCCAGTGCACACTGGTGGGGAAAGACTCTTGTTACCTAGTCTGGTCTTACCTGGTAAGGGCTCATTGAGGAGTTATGGGATAATTAATGGATATAAATAAGTTACCAAGATAGAACTTGTAGAAATAAAAATTTCTCCAAGTTTTTGCAGGGTAATCCCAGAATAATGAGATATTTTCTTAAGAACTTTCCCCTAGCTGTGTTTTTTCAGAATTGTGCAAACATTTACTCTGCCCTGCACCTCAAAAAGCCCAAAATAACTGTGTGAGATGTGTGTCAGGTTTAAAGTGCATTAAAAGTCTTCATTTCTGCAGCTGCTTGTCAGAAGGGTCACCAGTTGGGATGATTTGATTGTGCCTGTGCTGAAATGAAGCCATCAGGCCACTCACCTGCAGAGATAGAGCAAGAAAGAGGAGAACAGAGGCACTTGAGAAGGGACCCAACACTGGTGAGGGTGGGGTAAGAACTCCAAGTGTACTCTGTCACCAATGGACCCATTTTAGAAACTGTAGATGCAATTACTTCAGGTAAGCTTATATGTATTTTTATGCAGCTCCAAATTCCATGGCTTTGGAAGACCTATCACATGAAAAATCTTAAATGCATGTTAATTATAATCATTTTGCTGCCCAGTCTTCCTCCTTAAATCTGCAGTTTTCTCAAAAGAGAATTTAAACTTCATTGTTCCTATAGCACTACAATGAAGGCAGAAATTACTTAACAGCTAAGCAGAGGTTTGTATGTTTTTCAGCCACAATCAAAGAAACTTTGGAATGTGTAAAATATGCTAAGTTTTCAGAGCCCATGAACGGAAACCAGAAATAAAATTTTAGTAAGTCCTTCAGGTACATTAAATGGAGAAATAAGGGCCAGGAAGGTCATGTCACGGTCCTGCGTTGGCTTTTTGTCACTATTTCTAAGTGAAAAGGAGAAACCATCAGAGTTTCAGAGCATGGCATTTTAAAAAGGGCAGAATTCAGCATCTGTTCTCCACGTGAGATGGGATGGTTTAGAATATCATGGGACGGTTTAGAGTAAGGCATCTATTAAAAAGAAAACAGATTAAAAAAAGGCTATAAGCCTTCATAGTCTTGAGGCCATAAAAATCTTGTTAAAACTCAGACTGCCCTGAGATGTTCAAGAACTTGATGTCTCAAGTGAAATGTGTCCTTACAAGCACATTTAAGAAGGTTTAATACTCTCAACATTTACTAATGCTTTACCAGAAAAGCAGTCAGGTAGCCACCTTGACAGTGTTCCTTAAATTTGGGCCCCTATTTCATTATAGGAATAACAGAGTACAGGAGAGCATTAGAACAATAAATATAAATTATTGCTGCAACCAACAAGGAATGAGAAGGATAGACATTGAAGTGTTTACAGTGCTTGAAGACAAATTTCCGGTCATCTCCACAGTATTTACCTTACAAAAAGTGGCTGCCAAGAACTATTCACTCTTTTTTTCTTGCCTACCCTCATGGAAATATAGACATCTGTAAAGGACAAAACAGATCCACAATTACAATTGCCATGAAAGAGCTTATTTCAAAAGTACATCCTTTATGTCATAACATAATTAAATACTAGGCAAGTATCAATTCAACTACTATTTTCATATGGAACTTAAATGCTGACACAAGAGACAGTCAATCTTACTAGCCAAATCTGATAAATTTCTTAAGATTAGGATGGGAAAAAATGGAAAATTTTCACATTAAGGTGGTCGGCTATATTGTAGCTTAATTTATAATTTCCAGGCGTATAAGGCAAGCATAGACAGACCATATGTCTTTTCTTGGCCTTTAAATGCTCCTATTTTCCACTAGACTTGCCTTTTTCTCCATCTATTGGCAACCATACCATTTGCTATTCAGGTGATTGGCTGTAATGAGCCAACTCCTGTTTCCATATGAATAACCACTTTTTTCCCCAATTACTTAAGCTGCCAGCAAGTCACTGGTGTCATGTTCTTTGATGCAAATCTGACTGTCAATAGAGAACAGGACTACATAAAGGAAGAATTTATTATGATACCTTTAGCTTAATATTTTTTGTAAATGCTATTCAGTTTGGCTTCCAAGGAACATGGGCAGCAATGGTCCACAGTAAGAAATAAGAATATCTTTAATTGGCTTTGTGCTCCACATGCCCTTGTAATCAGCCTTCCCATATGGTAGTCTGAAATAAATTTATCAATCTCAATTTATGTATTTATGTCACTTTAAAAGGTCCATTTTAGTCAATATCAAAATCTATAAAATGTCACATTTAATTTTAAAATTGTAATTAAAAGAGTTTGAGAACCAAATATATAGTTTGATATTTGCAATTTTTTTAAATAAGCAGACACATAGAAAAGCATGGGAAAGGGGATTATCTGAGGCAAACGAATACCAGATATTAACAATACAAGAACTAAATATTAATTTTAACTTACTTTTTTAAAAGGTCATTTTTTATTGGCCTGGATATTTTTTCACTTAAAGGGAAACAGCTTACATTTTGCAAGCCAGGAGACCTTTTTCTTGAAATGCACCATGATAAGTGTGATGATGGGATAAGGGGCAGATTCCTTGCTAGTGTTGGCACTCCTGGCTGCAAGCACCATGTTTGACAGCAAATAGCTACCGACTAAACTACTTTCCATTTTACAACTTGCAATATTAAAATTCTAATAGAGAACAATAGAAGCAATTTTACCCACTATTCAAAGCTTTGTCTATTTACTGCCTACCTTCAAACCTGTATCATTTCAGGATGCTTCTCCAGATCTCTGTCAAGTAGATTTTCCAAGTGTTGTTCATTTTTTCCAGGTGATTCCAGTTATGCACCATTTTAAGCATCTGAGTAATTTTGTGAACACCTGCTTCTGCAATATAGACACCAGCAGCCAATCTTAAAAGAAAGACAAATTCAGTACATATTTAAAACTTCTATTGGTCCTACAAACCCCAGATTCAGTTCTGCATGTTTCCAGGTGCTCTCAGCTCAGGCTTTACCTATCGAATAATTAGCTCCTGTAGTAACTTCTTTTGTAGCAGTAGGTGTCCTTAACAACCACTGCTCTTTTCTTTAAAGGGTTTGTGGATCCATTTTTTTATCATTGGAAACACAATAACAAATTATTCTTTACATAAGGTTGACAGCACTTATCAAAGAGCTGAGACAAAACAAGAAGCCAGCAAAGGGAAGAGAGGTAAACAGTAAAAATATTTCTTTAACAGTCTGCTAAGAAGTAGATTATCTTTGATTGTGCTCATTTACAAATGGTAAAGGTCCTGTCTAATATCTGCAAGCAAAAAGAGAAAAATGTTAAGCCTAAAGTTCATTAGTGAAATATTTAATACCAAATGAAACAAAACAGTAATGTTAAATTTAGTGGGCTTAATAAACCTCAAAAATAGAAACATCTTTTCAAGTTTAAAGTTGTTGTTTAATGACAACCTGGTTTTATTATTATTATTGGGCTAAAACCTAACTTTAGGAGCATACATAAAATCAGAGCAGCTCACAGGTTTCTCAGATTACTCAAGACCAGGACTGGATTAGACTGCACTATTCAGGATTTTTAATAACACATAAATAAAAATATATGACAGTTGTAATTCATTAACTTTGGTACAGAAGTTAATTAGAAATTGTACAAATAATTTTTATGGGTTTTTTCACCAGTGCTTTTCAAAGACTGCTGCCCATTATAACGTGGACTGCCACAAACTCTGAAGGAGCATTGCTGATCAGGTACCAGGCATTTAGGCCCTGGAAGGAACAAAGAGGTGCCTGATTTGATTTCCCAAAGTTAGGGTACCTGCCTGCTCTCTAGCTGCATAAATGCTTTCAAATCTTTTAAATTCTAATGGACTAATGCAAGGCACAGACTAGCTGGTGCCTACATTTGAAATCTGCTCTCAAACCTCATTTGCAGATTGGCCAGATGGCCATTAGTGTGGAGGTGTTCTCCAGGCAGACTTGCTTTCAGGGCAGGGTTTTTTAAATTTTGGAGGGGGTTGGGGAAGCAGAAAAGGAAATCTTTTTTGGGGTTTGGATTTTTTTTTCATTTGGGGGGGAGGGTTGTTGAGTTTTTGTTTTTCAGTTAAGATTAGTAACAGCTAGGAAAGGGTGAATAAAATCTGAGCTACAACAGTATATTCTCTAGTTTGGTGTATTTAAGAAAGTGCTTGCAATTTAATCCAGAGAGACCAATAAACAGAAGACTAAAATAAAAAGGCAGAAGGCTGCAGTGTCAAAGTGCTGTTAAAGTACATGAGAAAAGCAATTCACTTGGGGTTCAATGTAACACTTCTAATAATGAGCTTCCCATATTTAGACACAAGAGATAGCAAATTCAAACCCCCTGGAAAGGATACAATACAGTTATACAACAACATAGCAAACTGTATTTGTTTTGTTATTACTACCTATGCACCCTATGGTTTCTTTAGGGAAGATGATATGATATCTTTATACCATAGTGTGTAAAACAGTCTGAAATCTCTCTTTGACACCAGTAATGCACTAAAATCCTTCCTAAATATTGAAAGACCTCCAACTTGATGCTAAGCTTGATCTTACTCATCACTAAAAAAAATAAATGTTTTGTTACTGCATTTCTCTCTGAGAGGTTTTCAAAATCCTTCCAGTCAGTACATGAGATAGGATACATATTGTCGGGGATAAGTTGTTAAAGTGAATTTGAAATGTGCTTCTCAAAATATCGTTTACACATTTACCAGATGGTAAAATAAACATGTAAATTGTTATCGAGTATACACCAACTTTATACTACAATTTTACCCACTGTAGAAATGGTGTAAAAATGTTGAATATAGTGTTACTTGTTCATTTAATAGTTTATTAACATTTTAAATACATTTGGAGAATAGGTTTGCTTTCAGAGAAGAAAAATACTTACAAAAGCAGCATTTCAAGCCATTTATCAGACCAAATTAATGTACTGACTTCTACATTTATCATTTACCTTATCAATATTATAATTAACATAATTATAGTTGGTTTCTAACTATTTGCACATGCATAGATGTTGCTCATGTTTATTGGTATGGGTTTTAAAAGATAAATTTAAGTTGAACAAAGGGCTAAAAAAGGAATTTTAAGAAGTGTAGTTATCAACATCTTAATTAAATGATGTGTGTTTTGGGATTGCCCTGGATTTGGGATTTGGGTTCAGGATTTGGGCTTAAGAGTTGTTGTGGGTCCCCTTCATCTGAGGATATTCTATGGTTCTGTGATTTGTAAGTAGCTGCTATTAGACCAGCAGATCACTTTGTCACTGGAATTTCCTCTTTCAAAACCCACCATACACATTCAGAAATAGAAAGATGTGAATACTTTACATATGACAAAGTAGAAGGCGTGTGCTAACAAACCCTCCCTCAAAGAAGAGAGAAATGCAACAGTTTAGCAGTTTGCAGGAATTAAAATCTTCAGCTCAAGGAGTAACCCTTGTCGTTCTCTAAAATATGAGGCCCCATGCCACAATCATTAGCTGATGTCCCTGGTAGAAGACAGCAGATGAAGGATTTTGATGGAAGACAGTGGCTAGTACTGGTTATGATTGGTCTCTCCTTTTGCAATTCTACTAACCCAGCTCATCAATTAAACTGTGCTATAGCATTTTCTTTCTCACATTTCAGACTATGCCAGCTCCTTTTATTAGAAAAAAAAATTATTATTTTGCTGTGTTAGATTTAGGATCTTTCCTCACCTATGATGAGATATATTGACTCAGCATAATTTCAGTCTTACACCCCCAGCAGACTCTGAATAATTTACTCCTTAGATATGAGCATATCAATTAGTCTTCAAAATATCTAATGACTTCTTTGGTCAATCCACAGTAGGGGCTTGGCTTCTCCCCCATCTTGATGGAATTATTTTTTCAGAGGCTTTTCACAGCACCTAAATTCAGTCTGACACCAGCCATGAAGCTCCTGTTTACTATTGCAGAGTGGATTTACTGTCATATGCCCTCAGCAGTAAGGTGTTATCACATAAATGCAAAAGATACATAATTCTCAAAAGTCCTAGCACAGAGCTAACTTGTGCTAACTTGTAACTTAAGAGAGAAGTTGACCTTATAATGAATTCTGGAGGAATGTGCCTATCTAACAAATATCCGCTATTAGTAGGTGCCACAACATAAACTCTTAACCTAAATTGTCTTTAAATAGTATCGCCCCTATACAAGGAGCTACCAGAAAAGTGGTAGACAATAGACTTTAACAAACTTGTCTGGTTTTCTCATACTCATAAAGTCTCTAATTTAAGATTCAGAGGTCAAAACCTGCTCCACACTGGGTGCTTCATCAGCGCTCCAGAAGAATCTTCCAGAGAAAGCCAATTGCATGTGAGCATGTTTTAAACACCACTTGGAACATCCTGCTCTACAGAATCACAGAATCATCAAGCTTGTAAGATACCTTCAAGATTATCTGCTGCAACCATCAACCCAGCACCACCGTAATCACCCCTCAAACATATCCCACATCCAGAATCCCCTTGAACGTTTCAAAAAAGAATTCCACCACCTCTCTGGGAAACTTAATCCAATGCCTAACCACTCTTTCAGTGATTTTTTCTTTTCCAATATGTAATCTGGACTTTCTCCAGTGCAAAGGAAGGCCATTTCCACTCATCCTTTTGCTTGGGACATGACAAAAGAGGCCAACCCCCATCTCACTACCACCTCCTTTCAAGCAGCTGTAGAGAGCAACCTGCCTTTTGGACTGTACTCTGCAGATGAAGTATTTTGCAAATATAAACAAAAATGTTTGATGATATTGAAAAGACAGCAATAATAAGAGTTTATTATGGGAATAAATTATAATTTAACTTCATTAAATACCCCAGAATCTCTGGAAAGGTCTGGTTTAGAAATCATTAAGCAGAAACGTAAGTTCAAACTTGAAGAAATAGTCTAAGTGAGACAGGGAGAAGATGGATGTACACAAACAGGAGATGTTCAATAGCACACAATTACCAGCCCACCTCTATTATGAATTAGGAAAATATGGGGAAGCTTAAAAGTCTGAGTACCAAAATCCCTCGTGCATTCAAGGCATGCTTGGCTTTGGTGCACACACAGGTACTATAGACTGAAACACTAAACATGAGAGGGAGCTGCCGAAGAAAGCAATGTCTTCAAAGCCTGAGCCATGGAGAACCAAACACCTCTGCCAACTAACTTCGAAGCAGAGCCTGAGCCAACACTTCTGTAAAGACAGGGTGAGCACTGAAAACTTGTAGCATATGCTGCTATTTACATAACTAATTGTAGCATGCACAGTCAAAAAACAGCCTCTAGCTTTAGCATATACATGCAAAATAATTGATTTTATTATGTACAGAAAATTAGAAGCTGTCAGAAACAAAGCCACTAGTAACAGCCGCGAGGAAGAATTTCGAATTTTCATCGCCTAGATTGCAGAGGCTAGTCTTCACACAGTTGTGAGGTTTACAGCTAGAATATAAATCTAGACAAGATTCAGTGACAGCTGATACCCTATCCAAGCTTTCGGTAAAACTGACATACACACACCATAGACTGATGGTGGAGACACTCAAGAAAAATATTCCCAGTCTCAGACTAGCTGTGGTTTGTCATTGCAGGCATTGTAATACAAGATTAAACTCTGCAAAGGACATTGCAAATATAATAATAGCAACCTAATCTTGCACAAAATAAAAAGGAAGAAAAATATGATGGCGTGGAATAAAAGCACTAGCTGAGTTGCTCCTAAATCTCTGATGAATAATAAGAGGACAACAAGTTGGGAAAAATACAGAAGAAGAAGCTGCTTTATGCTGTTTTTCTATGGAAAAAAAAAAAAAAACAAAAAAAACCAAAAAAACCCAAAAAACCATGAACCTCAGTG